GCTAATGTGTTTTGCGTGTTCTGACAGCTAAATTTCGTGCGTTATAAGAATGCGATGGAAATCTGTTTTCCATAGCTGTTTACTTTCTGCTGTTTTCAGATTATTGGTACGGAATGTCAGGTCGATGAAAATCAGCACTCCCGACTACGTCTCTCTACCGCTTTCCACGGAAGCCTTAAAGCCGCTGGAGCAGCTCAATATATTCATCAGGGTTTGAGTAAAGCATTGAGTAAGAGGTCAATATTAGGGCGGCTCACAACCGATTTTGAGAAAAACAAAACCGACAACGCTGACCTGGCTGACATTCGGTCGACCCATACCTCACCATTTTTTTTTGTTTTCCCGATTAGATTTCAAACACAATATTATCAGCACTATTAAAAGCACAGATGTTTACAATAAAGTAGTTAATAATATATTCTTCATTGTTTCTTAGGACCTCCTTCTCCCACCGATCAGCCAGCTCATTCAGTCACCGAGAAGGCATTGAAAAGCTGGCTAATAGGTGGGAGGAGGTTGTAAGAAACAATGGAGAATATATTATTGACTAGTTTATTGTGGGTATCCATATTTTTTATAGTGTTGTAAATATTTTGTTTGGAATTCAATCAGGAAAACAAAAAAAAATCGTGAGGTATGGGTCGACGGGATGTCTGAAAGGTCAGCGTTGTCGGTTTGGCTTTCCTCAAAATCAGTTGTGAGCCCTCCTAATATCAATGTGTTACTCAATGCTTTGCTCAAACCCTGACGAATATATTGAGCTGCTCCAGGGCTTTAAGGCTTCCGTGGAAAGCGGTAGAGAGACGAAGTCGGGAGTGCTGATTTTCATCGACCTGACATTCCGTACCAAAAACCTGAAAACAGCAGAAAGTAAACAGCTATGGGAAACAGATTTCCATCGCATTTTCATAGCGCACGAAATTTGCTGTCAGAACATACAAAACACATCAGCAAAACAATCAACTATTAGCATGAAATTTCAAATGGAACAGGCGCGATGACTTGTGATCCTGCCCTTCATCTGCGAGGTGAAAGTTGCCAATCTCCCAACCCATGAAATCGGTTCCGAAGCGTCCTATGAGGATTTTCTCGCTAGGATTCCTAGCTCATCCTATTGCATATCTATGGAGCAGCTTAACAATTTTAGCACTTCGATCAGACGTAAATAGCGGCATCTGTCGAAGGTACTAATTTTCGCCGACTCCACTTTCAACTTCAACGACTAAAAAATTTACAAAAAAAATACCCTCACCTGAAGCTGTTTAGATATTCTCATAGTTCGAAAAGTTTCCCATCACATGATATGGAACCTGCTTGCAAAACTTTTCACTTTTTAACGAAATTTCCAAGTAAAACAAACGCCCTTACTTACGGGCCAACCCAATATTTCAGTTTGAAAACTGAAGAAACTGGTAGAAACTGGTGAGGGGTCTTGAGTATACCTTTGCATATTGTAGACTAGTCCTTTCTGAAACTGGCATTGCCTTCTCAGGCGACTAGCATACTCTTAATACAAGCATTGAAAACTGCATCAATCACTGATTAAATTTTATTCATGATAGGAACGAGAAGAAAATAGCGTTCCGGAAGGCCAATAATCAAAGGCAAAGTGTCACGGTGTTTCTCCAGTTTCGTTAGTGCTCACTAGGCATTCCACTTTCGATGCTTTCTCCTTTTTTCTCTCATGCCCTTCCTGCATTTCTTGCAGTACCACGGTCCCTAAAGTATACTATTGTTCGAGTGAAGGTTTAGATTACTAAATCTGAGATTCAGCCATAAAACTATAGTTGTAAGAGAAGGTCGTCTACTCGACAAGACGAACTGAATAAAGAGTTGACTAGGTTAGACGTAGAGCCACCTACCTTTAGGTTCTTCAGCTAAACAGACATGGTAGTAATGAGCCCACTCAGTTCCACAGTCAGAAGCTTCATCTTGCCAAACGACACCTTGAAGGCAGGTGGCACGATAAATTCCCCAGACGAGTAGTATTAATACGCCTGGCAAGACGGAATTCCGCGACCCTGAGCAGGCGCTGCAAAGTGCCTTTTCCAAGGAAGCTGCCCTTATCAGGGCCCTATCAACCTACCGACCCAAACGCCCGCTAGCCCACAAACGTACGACCGTTCCCGACGTTCTAATCGATTTATTTGCTAAGCGAGTTATGAAGCGAGCGGATTGGTATGAAGGAGCCGAAGCTACATGGATATATGGTGCACATATGCAGCAGTGCCTTCCGTAGCGCTTATTGGCAAGATGCCTACAGGAAACTCGTAAAAAATTGCTCTCTAACACACTGAAATGGAGGCTCTTTTTTGCACGATTTTAACCGTTTCACTCCGTTCTTTAGCCATTTCTCCACTATATAGCGCCCTACTAGCATCTAAGGCCGAGCACCAAATCATCATGCCAACTGCCTTTAAGCGACTTGTTGTGTAACTGAATGGCCGACTAACGTGATTGACGCAGGACATTCCCTACCTAAAGGGAAAGTCTTTCATACTCCTGCTCTATGGCTTATCCGAAGCCTCAGGCAGCGTTCAGACTTCGCGACGACAGCGCTACGATCACGCGCTCTACGCGATCCAAAGATCAGGGCCCATCGTTGTTGGGGAATCCCCAGCAGTAGGGGGTCGTATTTGGCCGCAAGGAGAGGGGGATCGTATTTGGCCTGGAAAAAATTTATTTTGATAGTTGATTTGTCTCTCTTCATGGACGTTGTAAAGGGGGAGGGGGTCGTACTTAGGTTTTGGCGTTGTAGGAGATATTCCTATTCATGCCTACTATATGCCCCCCCCCCGCTCGACAGCTCGATTCGATGAGGAAGGACAGAAGGGCTGGGGGGGGGGGAGGAGCGTACCAACTCCTAAAGGGAGGGAAAGGAGGAGGGGGGTTCTACAGACTCGACTAAAATCTCCAGCCACTGATGTGCGCTGCCAAAGATTGAAAGCATGCGCATCGATCGTGTCGAGTGCGCGATCGGAGCGATGCCGGTGCGAAGTCTGAACATTACGCACCCAGGGCAACCGACACAAAGATCAAAGTCTTGCTTATGCTTTCTTCTTTGAGCAGCGTAGTGCTCAATAGCGTCCAAGCGCACGTTCCACGGACCAAACTTGCGCTGACTCCCACCCAGGCCGACCAGGCCATGTACCTTCAGTACCACATCTATCTGGGAGTGTAAGAACACTGACTCGTACAATCGCTTGTATAGACCGCATTGCCCTTAATACGCTCTGCGACTCTGAATGGAAGCAGAAAACGTGCAGCAAATCAAGAATGATCAGCGGCGAGGGCTTTATGCATTTTATGGTGAGACGTGCTAGTGAAGGAGGATTGGGCCTCGCACGACTTCGTTTTCCTCTCGTTACTGAAGCGGGTGAACGGAAACATTTGGTGGAAAACGGCTATTGCTAAAGAGTGATAGCTGTGATAATTTTGCAGTTTGCCGGAGAAAATGGGGGAACTGGAAAGCGCTGCGCCAAACTCATCCCACCTGAAAAGCCTCTTCTTTTGTACCAAATAGAACTGGAGCACATGCCGCCGGAACATTTTGGAAATACCGCGCTTCAACTTTGGGTGACGCCACCTTGTTTTCTAACAGATTCCGGACTCTTATGTTGATTCTTCAGGCTGATCTGGCCAGGGCACGCCATCGATGTGATCATCACAACAGGGGGATCGTATTTGACCTCGAGGGAGGAGTGGGAGGGGTCGTAAGCGCGGGAACCTTCCTGAAGTGAGGGTGCAGCGACACCCTGATGTCGTTCAGCTTCAATGATGAAAGACTTATCCATGTGAACGACCGCTGAAGAGCCCCACACAGTACAGGAGCAACCTGTCAACGTAAAAATGGGGAACGGGCGACGACAAAATATGGTGGCCTCCCACAACGACGTCATGAATTATTATCAAAAGATAAAGAATGAAATCTCAGCCGTTGATCAACCCCTTTGTGGGATGCGGCACGCATTGTACTTCCATTCAGAATCGCAGTGGCTCATTGAATGCGATGTGGGATATACAATGACTTGCGGTGTTCAGCCGATACAGAAATCGGTGTTTTATCTCCCAGGCGAATCTGGTACCATCTTACCGTCCCCGGAGGGTAGAGGGCTTGGTTGGCCTAGGCGAAAGTTGACTCAAGATTTAAACCCGGCATCGCGCGAGTGGTAAGCGCGCCACTTGTCACAACACCACGCAAGCACATCTACCTGCACGAAGGAAACCCTTATTATTAGGTTGTCCGGAAAGTTCTCAGCGTTTTGTGCGCCTATTTTTTCGCTTGCGCTTATTTCATTTTTTCTAAGATTTGCGGAACTGCCTTGCTGGAAAATTCTTCGTCAATTAGGACCAGGCAAAACAGACCTTCGTGGCTTCCGTGGATTCTCGACCACCCAGTTTTTTCTTTGACGGGATTTCTCGACTGCTGTCACATTGGCAAAAGTGTGCTGATTCGAATGGTGCCTATTTCGATTAAATCCGATGAGTATTAAAAAAGTTACGATCGTTTAAAGTGGAATACCCAAAACGCTGAGAACTTTCCGGACAACCTAATAGAAGTTGCACCTTTACGATAGCTCTGCGTGAAAGCGCTATGCATGGCGCAAGAGGTGATGCCAATTGGCGTCTAATGAACTATTTCCTGGTATCCTTGGCAAAAACACGCGTTTTAGAAGCATAACAATGTCTTAAAGCCAACTGGATATTCTTTGGCGTCGGAGCG